TGTGTCTGTAGCAGGACAGTCTGCTGAGGTAGCTGAAGAACCTGCAGCACAAAACGCCCGGGTTCAGGTCCAAACCCACCAGAACCGACCCGCTGCGAGGTTAAGTACATAGAACCAACAACAACCCGGCAAACTGGAAACACATTTAGAGAAAGATGTTTAGGATCAGTGATTCTGAAGAACCAGAACCAGAACCAGAACCAGAACCAGACGGCCTGCTGATGGACGGGTTTCACAGTCCAGTCGGTTCAGTGTGTCCAGGTGTTCTGACCCGGAGGAGGGAACTAAAAACCCAAACTGTGATTAGCTGAAGGCTCAGCAGGCAACCAATCAGATCAGAGCGTCTGAATCTGACATTATAAGCTAAGTGGGCTAAATGCTTTCAACATGCTAAATGAAAGATTAGCTTCGCTATTAGCAGACGTGTCAGTGTGAACTGGTTACCTCAGCAACATGTCGACCTCTGAACTCTTCACCACGGCGAAGGAGGAGGTCAGCCAGGTCTGGTTGTAGGGCAGCATGTGGCACTGAGGCTCCAGGACCAGCTGACACCGACCTGCAGGAACCAGAACCAGAACCAGAACCAGAACCAGAGGGATGAGGCTGTTGACCAGCAGGGGGCGCCACCAGGTCTGCCTCAGTTCAGGCCTGACCTTTCACCCCCTGAAAGTTTATTGCAGGGTTACTATGCTAGCAGAGGAGCTAATGCTAACCTCCAATCACAGCCTGATGCGGCCAGAACCGGTTAAACTGCTGCAGAACCTCGGGGGACCCGGTCCAGTCCGGCCCGGTTCTGCTCAGCAGCTTCAAACATCCACTGAATCTGATGAGCTCCCAGCAGCCAATCAGAGCTCAGGACAGAGCCGGGTCATTAGCATTCACCTCAGTGTCCCACTGAGACAGAGAGACGGGAGGACAGCAGAGGCAGGGAGACGAGGGGAATCTTAAATCAATCAATCATCGATCAGAAATAAACTCTGCTCCGTTCGCTGGTTCTGGATCAGAACCCAGACCCGGTCCAGGTTCTGCTGGTCCACCAGTGTCCCCTAAAGGACAGCGGATCAGAATTCAGCTCAGAACCGTCTGATTACAGACAGGAAGTGGCTGCAGCCCTGGAGGATTCTGGGAATCGTTGTCCTCCAGCTCTCCTGCAGCTGATGGTGCTGGCCCTTTAAGAACATTCACATGTTGATGTTGACAGGTGATCTTACCTGTGTCTGGCGCCGAGGTGGAGCTGGCCGGCCCGGCGGTGCTCAGTGATGTCACTGAGGCCAGCCAATCAGGAAGCCTGGTGGCCGGCTGGGTGGGCGGGGCCAGAGAGGCGTGCGGAGCAGCAGGTGTGCTCTGACTGTGGGACGCTACCTGTCCCACCTGGATCCTCTCGGACAACGAGGCGCTGGACGGGGACGATGTGCTGTTGCTATGGTAACCATGGCTGCTGTCCGAGGGGAGGGGCCTGGAGTCCAGGGGGGCGGAGCCGAAAATACCTGAGGAGACGAAGCAGGGAGGGGTCAGACCAGAACCCGACCAGAACCAGAACCCGACCAGAACCAGAACCAGAGCCTGACCAGATCAGAACCAGAACCTGATCTAGAACCAGAGCCCGACTAGAACCAGAACCAGAACCAGAACCAGAACCAGAGTCTCCGTATCAGAATCATGTTTTTTCTGCATTAATTTCTGATTTCCTGATTTTTTCCAACGACCCGAGAAGCCGTTACCATGGCGACCCGGCTGAGTGTCCTGCGTTTTGCTAAAATCAAAGAAAATCAAAATAAATGAGTCACTGACAGATCTGAGAAACCTTCATCATCATCATCATCGTGTGATGATGATGAGTCTCATAAATACCTTATTAATGTCAGCTTTTAGAATCGTGTCAAAGGTTATAACCAAGCAGCTGATTTCTGCTGCCCCTGCTGGTCAGGAGGCCTAACTGCAGCCTGTCCTTGCAGCAGCGCTGCAGGACATCATGGTGGACATTCTGCAGGTTCAACAGAGCAGATATCTGTTCACTAAACTCCCTGATGATCCAGATGGGTTGGTCACAGAGGTCAGGGGTCAGTTGGCGGTTTGCTGACCTCTGGTTTGCGGCTCTGTGGGTAAATCTTCTGTATTTTCTGAGTATTTTTGTTAGAGCTGCTCTAACATTTTCAGATCAGGGAACATCTGCTGAGCATCTATGGCAACAGGAGCTGCTTTGTCCTCCTGCTGCTGGAGTGAAGGCCGGCGGCGGCAGAGACATGAGGAAGAGGAGGAGGAGGAGGAGGAGGAAGAGGAGGAGGAGGAGGAGGAGGAGGAGGAGGAGGAGGAAGAGGAGGAGGAGAGGCGTCACGCTCCATTAGAGACTCCATGAGGAGGAGGAGCAGGAGGTTTAAACTGAGAGCAAGAAAAGATTAAAAACGACAGGAGAGGAGGAGAGAGGGAGGAGGGAGGGAGGAGGGAGGGAGGAGGGAGGGAGGATGGAGGGAGGAGAGAGGGAGGAAGGAGGGAGGAAAGGGAGAGAGGGAGGAGAGAGGGAGGAGGGAGGGAGGAGGGAGGGAGGAAGGAGGGAGGAGAGAGGGAGGAGAGAGGGAGGAAGGAGGGAGGAGAGAGGAGGAAGGAGGAGGAGGGGGAGGATGGAGGGAGGAGAGAGGGAGGACAGAGGGAGGACAGAGGGAGGACAGAGGGAGGACGGAGGGAAGACAGAGGGAGGACGGAGGGAGGACAGCAGCGTCTATCTCGCTACCTGCCTAAATGTTTGACATTCCTTCACTGAGCCTGGCTCTGATTGGCCGAGGGACTCCCCGCTGTCATGGCGACCAGATGAAGCACGCACAGAGAAACAGAAACACGGCGTTAAGTCAACACGGCATGTGTTGACTTAACGCCTCCTCCACCTCCACCTCTCTGTCCTCCAGCAGGAAGAACTGGAGATGGAGGGATGGATGATGAGGGTCAGGAATGAAAGGGAAGGATGGTTGGATGGTTGGATGGTTGGATGGTTGGATGGTTGGAGTGTTGGATGGTTGGAGTGTTGGATGGTTGGATGGTTGGAGTGTTGGATGGTTGGATGGTTGGATGGTTGGAGTGTTGGAGGGTTGGATGGTTGGATGGTTGGAGTGTTGGAGTGTTGGATGGTTGGATGGTTGAAGAAAGGAGGAAAACTGATGGAGGGACAGAAAGTGGAAGAATGAAAAGATGAGAAACAGATGAAAGAAAGAAAAGAATCAATGAATAAATAATGAGGATAAAAACATGAACCATGTTAACCCTCCAGTCCCTCTCTGGTTCTGACCCGGCGCTGCGGTCCGGACCCCTCCCCAGGTGTGGCCCCTACCTGTCAGGGCCAGGCCCAGCAGCAGCAGCAACAGCGCCCCAGGCTGACGGTGGGAACCAGGATGTAGAGCAGCAGCAGCCGCAGCTGATTGGAGGAGCCCAGCGTCTTAGGACACGCCCCCTGGTCCATCCCAGCCTCCTGGAGGGAGGGGGGGGTCATCATCATCATCATCATCATCATCATCATCATCATCATCATCATCATCATCATCATCATCATCATCATCATCATCATCATCAGCACACCCAGTCTATTTTAACACTCAGAGTTTCCATTGGACTGTTGGAGTAATTTTAGAAGTGAAGAGACGAGGAGACACTCAACACCCAACACACACACACACACACACACACACACACACACCACACACACACACACACACACACACACACACACGCTGCTGATCCCTCTGATCCTCCTGCGGTCAGTAAAATGATTTATTTACTTCCTGTTTTGCCTGCAGCTCCAATGACCAGATTAATAATCTGATGATGGTTTAATCTGATCCATTGATCCAATATTAGACCATCAGAACCGATCAATCATCAGTCAGACCCTAAATCTGATGTTGAGTTAAAGACAGAAACATTTAACGGCTCCAAGCTGCTGATTAATTCGTTCATCATGGAAATACGACACAAACTATATTAACTATATTCATTTTATTAATTATATTCTTTGCAGGAGTTTAATTGTCTTTATTAAAATAAAACAATGCTTAATATTATTACTTTTTAATCATATTTCTTTCTGTTTCTACCACATAATGAGTTGTATTTATGAGTTTTTATTCCCAGTATGGAATAAAATTGTTATTATATATGATGTATTATAGTTTTTGGTCCCAAAAGTAAAACAATATTGTTAATTATTTAGTTTTTTTTAATAAATAAAAGGTTTAAAATCCACCAGAATCACCTGATTAATTAGTCAGTAATTAAATAAATGCATAAAACATTTAAATATATAAAAATAAACAAAATCTAATAAAAATATATATCTACATAATAGATGTAAATAAATAAAATGTAAAATTGCTAAGTATAAATCCATAATCTGAATAATAATCTGATGCAGGTTTCTGTCAATTCTGGTCGAATTAATGATAAATTGATTAAATATTAATTAAACAGATTCAGAGGAAAATTCACATCTCCTGCGGTTTTATTAAATTCCATCCACTGATGCTTCATATGTTTTATTCTCCTGCAGGTGAATCAGATTAGCTGTAATCTGATTGGATTAAGTCCACAGTGAACCTGCTGGAATAAATCAGATTATTTCCGGGTTTAACGGGATGAACAATGGCTGCTTATTGTTGGAATATTAAGTTTTGTTTTGTTTCAGACCTGAAACTGATTACAGAAACAGCAAAATGTTTAAAATAACGAGGTAAAAAGAGTAAAGAATTAATAAAGAGCATTTATTGCTCCTTTAAATATGCAGATTATTGTTTAACTTCAGGAAAACCAGTCTAGTTTTTTAGGCTGAATCCTTCAGATGTTGAATAATTAGAGATTCATTGGTAAAGTCAGACTAATAACCTGAACGAAAGAAGCGAAGCTGCGACGCAGAACCGGAGACACGGACACGACAGGACTCACCGCCGGCGCTCCGCTGAAGGTGACACCCGGGAAGGTCTCCCCCTCGGAGCGGACAACATGAGCTGCTGCTGCCGGCCGCCGAGCCAGAGACCATCGCTCTGCCGGCGGGGAGCTGCAGCTGGCGGGGGACTGGCGGGGCGGAGCGCGCCGGCTGTGGGCGGAGACAGCGGAATGATACACACTGATACACACTGACACACACTGATACACACTGGATACACACTGACACACACTGACACACTGATACACACTGACACACACTGGATACACACTGGATACACACTGGATACACACTGATATACACTGACACACACTGATACACACTGATACACACTGATACACACTAAAACACTTTGCTCTCTCACACACTCCCCAGGTCGGCCCGCTGTGTCTCCGTCCCGCTGCTGTCAGACTCCTGACCCGACCCGGGCAGGTTCTGCTGGATCTCAGATGTTCTGGACTCCAAGAACCAGAAGCCTGCCACAGATTAGCAGCCCAGAAGCTCCAGGTTCTTCTGGACCAGAACCAGGCTCATGTTCGGTTTGATGCTGATTCTGAAGGTTTGGGTCCAGATTAAAGTCTGATTTTATATTTGGACTCTAATCTGGAGTCAGACCTGGGTTTGAATCTGGGTCCAGTTCTGAACTCCAGATTGGATCAACATCTGGACCTGGTTCTGAACTCCAGAACTGGCAGTCAGTACACACTGAATACAGAGTCAGTTCTGGGTCAATTCTGACTCGGTTAAAGTTCTGGGTTCAGTTGATGCTAAAATCCAGATTAAATGTAAACGCAGTATTAATCTGGATTTTGACAGTCGGACATCTGGGTCCAAACTCAGGAACCGGTTCCTGTCTCGCTCCAGGTCCAGATTAATAGATCCTGGTTTCCTCAGTTAAAACTGGATTAACATCTGAACCTCAATCTAAACCTAATTCCAGATTAAAGCAGAGAGATTGGATTTCAATCCAGATCCAGAGATTAGTTTCAGCTTGATGTGAACATTTGGATCTGGATTGGTTCTGGTCTAGAATAATCTCTGAGTTCAGATCCAGATTGGTTCTGGACTTTAATCTGGATTAAAACCAGGATTCAGATCTGAACTCATGTTGGGCTCAGATCTCGACTGTGATGTCCAACAGAACCGGGTTTGGTTCTGGAAACTGAATATTTTAATCTGAATTCAGATTAAGGTCCAGCAGAACCAGTTCAGGAACGCAGATCTTTGCTCCAGTCTGACAGACTGGACCTCAAGGAGGAAACCATTCACTACCCAGAACTGATAAAGGTTCTGGTGCTGGGCCGGTCCGGTCCGGTTCCTCAGCCTGTCCCAGTCAGACCCAGACGGCCCCGTTGACCTAGAGAACCACTAACCAGTGATGGAGGATGGACCCGGCTTGGTGTGGACTCAGAACCAGAACCAGAATCAGAGGCAGCAGCACAGAGGAGCAAAGGTTGACCTTGATTCAGCAGATTGTAATGGATTACATAACAGACCTCGGTACCAGCAGAACCAATGAACTATCATCATTTGGACCCAGCAGAACCAACGGAACCATCGTCGTTTGGACCCGGCAGAACCAGGACGTTCTGCTGCTTTACGAAGTCTCAGACTTTGAGGCGTAGCGATGCTCCTCTGTTCACCGTCGCCCCCTGCTGGCCGATGGCTGCAGGTCCAGATAGATCAACTAAAAAGTCAGATTTAAACTGGACCGCTGGGTCAGGAGGTCATAATGGTTAATGATGGCAGCATGGAGGTCAGAGGTCAAAGTTTATGGTTTATTTCTCCAAAACAGAAAGGAAATTTTACAGGATTTCTGCAGCATTCTCTGATTGGTCAGATCACAGATCACATGACCGCCTCTGGATCTCCAGAGATCGATTTCAGTTTGATACGCAGGAAAAGTTACAAAATCAGCAGGAAATAAAGAAAAAGAGGAAGAAACATCAGCTGGAGGACCAGCGTCTGATCTGGAGGACTCATTTAAATCAACGAAGAAGAAATCATGAACCGTTCCCGTTTGTCCTGCAGCTTCTAGTTGACAGGGGTGACCTTTGACCCCTCAGGCCTGGCTCAGCAGGTAGTAGGCAGCGGCAGACAGTAGAGCGCCCCCCAGTGGCAGCAGGAGGAAGGTGGTGCACCTCCTCCTCCACCTCCTGGCCCGGTCCTGCTCCTCGTCCACCTCCTCCCTCCGGCCGCGCCGCTTCGACCTCCGACCTCCTCGCTGCTGCCGCTTCTCAAAGGCCTCCAGCTCCTCCTGGTGGAGCAAAGGGAGAACGGCAGGATGAAACCTCCGGACCAAAACGGGTCACTGGGCTGGAACCGGGCTAACGGACCAGAGGTCGGATCGGCAGAACCGAACCTCCCACTAAGAACCCGGCCGTCCTCCAGACTCACCTGAAGCTTCTTCTGCTCCTCCTCCAGGGCAGCTTGTAGCTCCGCCTCCTTCACCTGGAGAACAAACAGCATCAGACAGCCTGTCTCCAGGTGTGTGTGTCTCCAGGTGTGTGTGTCTCCAGGTGTGTGTGTCTCCAGGTGTGTGTGTCTCCAGATGTGTGTCTCCAGTGTGTGTGTCTCCAGTGTGTGTGTCTCCAGGTGTGTGTGTCTCCAGGTGTGTGTGTCTCCAGTGTGTGTGTCTCCAGTGTGTGTGTCTCCAGGTGTGTGTCTCCAGGTGTGTGTGTCTCCAGGTGTGTGTGTCTCCAGGTGTGTGTGTCTCCAGTGTGTGTGTCTCCAGGTGTGTGTCTCCAGTGTGTGTGTCTCCAGGTGTGTGTCTCCAGTGTGTGTGTCTCCAGGTGTGTGTCTCCAGGTGTGTGTGTCTCCAGTGTGTGTCTCCAGGTGTGTGTGTCTCCAGGTGTGTGTGTCTCCAGTGTGTGTCTCCAGGTGTGTGTGTCTCCAGATGTGTGTGTCTCCAGTGTGTGTGTCTCCAGGTGTGTGTGTCTCCAGTGTGTGTGTCTCCAGATGTGTGTGTCTCCAGGTGTGTGTGTCTCCAGTGTGTGTCTCCAGGTGTGTGTGTCTCCAGTGTGTGTGTCTCCAGGTGTGTGTGTCTCCAGTGTGTGTCTCCAGGTGTGTGTCTCCAGTGTGTGTCTCCAGGTGTGTGTCTCCAGGTGTGTGTGTCTCCAGTGTGTGTCTCCAGGTGTGTGTCTCCAGATGTGTGTGTCTCCAGGTGTGTGTGTCTCCAGGTGTGTGTGTCTCCAGTGTGTGTCTCCAGGTGTGTGTGTCTCCAGTGTGTGTGTCTCCAGGTGTGTGTGTCTCCAGTGTGTGTCTCCAGGTGTGTGTCTCCAGGTGTGTGTGTCTCCAGGTGTGTGTGTCTCCAGTGTGTGTCTCCAGGTGTGTGTGTCTCCAGGTGTGTGTGTCTCCAGGTGTGTGTGTCTCCAGTGTGTGTGTCTCCAGGTGTGTGTGTCTACCTGGCTGGCCTTCCTCTTCTGGTCTTTGCAGACGAGGTCACACTGAAGTTCACTCTGAGCCGCCAGAGAACACATCACTTCCTGAAAGGACAGCAGGTCACATGAGGCTCTGAGCCAATCAGCAGGCTGGTTTATGACTTCAAGGATGCTTTTATTTCCCGCCTTTTTAATTTCACATAGTTTGGATATTTTCACATCCAACATAAGAACCATAAAGCACTGCTAGCTAACAGTTAGCTGTGCTAACCCTAAAGCATGACACAGTCTTCCAAATGTTTATGCAAATTGGGTTAAAGTGCCATAAAGTTTAAATTTCTTGTTGTGCTATTAAATGTATAGATGGCTTTGTGTGTCAGGGCTTTTTGAATCACTATAACTGGTTGATCACTTTAGCTCAATCAAAGTAAATCTACTTCAGAAGGATGTTCCACATTATTCAGCAGGCTCCAGGATTCTGCTACTGTGAAGAGATTTGTGGCTGATTGAGAACAAAGATGGTTTAAAGGCTAAAGAGGAAAGTTTCTGTTTGATTCCTGGGATCAAGAGATCAGCTGCTGAAAAGCAGCAAACAGTTAATAGCCTCAAGGTGGAGGATCCATAGGGGCCCCAACCTGCTATGGACATAAAGGGGAGAAACTCATGGTGCGTCACTATCCTCCTCTGACCTCTGACCTCTGACCCTATTGGGAACCTGTGGAGTTTCCTCCAGCAGAGGGTTTAATGCAGGTCGTATGAAGCAGCAGCTCTGGAAGGTTTTCTGATATCCTGCAGAAACTTTCCACAAACTCACCAGTTCAATGGATGAAGTTTTATGCAGTGAAACCAGAGAAGGTCCAACATGTAACTCTGTGTGTTAAGATGTTTCTGGTTGAAACAGCTTTGATTTCAGGACATGTGACCATTAATGCTGCACATTCACAGAATGACTGTTTGTAGATCTTTATAATCCATAAACTGTTTAGAAAATCTGCTGTCATAATAATCTGGAAGTGAGCATTTTGAGTTTTTATTTTGAAATAAATCCTGTTCAGATGGGAGCTTTGGTCAGTAAAATCTGATTTATCCAGTAATACTTCATGACATTAAACTGACCATCATTTGACCATTTAGGAAAATGTGAGAAAATCACATGCATAATCATTTGGAACATGGTGTAAACAGTTACGGTAAAGTGCTAAACCAACATGGTATCTAATGGGAGCTAATGCTAATCGCTACCACAACATGGTGTCTAGCAGTAGCTAATGCTGAAGCACTGTGCCGATATGGTATCTATAGTTAGCTGGAGCTAAAATGCTATAAGAGCATGAATGAAACACCAAAGCAAAACTCAACCAGATGTTTAGAAAGCTGAAAATTGGAGCTTTAGAATTTATCTGGAAAAATAATTTAAGTTAAATGTTTTCAAAGATGGTAAAAATGATAAAGCACTAAATGAAACATTATCTCAACTATAAGCGCATCAGCTGGGAACCAACAGGGACACCCTGCTGGTTAAACTGGTGCTTCTTGTGTTGACCTTTGACCTGCTGGCTATCACTAGCGTCTCCATCCATCAGACAGGAACCAGAACCAGGAAGTTAGAACCAGCATGGTTTAAATGTTGGCGACCGTTTACCTTCTTGATCCTCTTGCATGGGCACCTGAGCTTCACCTTCTGCTGACACGTCTC